CCTAATTTATCCTTTTCATTCACGGTATGCTCAGGGCACACTATGCATGAATGTGGTTTTCTGGAATACTTCTGTTTAAGTTCTGTTACTTCTTCAGCAAATCCTATTGGAAATGTCAAAGAGGCTAAAGGGTCCTTCTTTAGACGTACAACACAGCTGTAGGGAAGTGAAGCTATAGCAGCTTTCTACATACAAAGACTCTTAGGAAATACGAATTTACTGTTGAACAGAAAAAAAAACCAGATGAAAACTCTGACTTACCAATAAGATCACTTCTATCCAAGAGTAACTCTAGATCTTTATCACTGATTACTTTTTCTTTAGATCCTTTAACCTCCCTGTTGAGGAAGAAATAATCTCTCTCAATACATATAAAAGCATGTTACAGTTAGTATTCCATAGAAGTCAATTTTCCCACATAGCAGAATCCCTAGGACATTCTTTCCACTGTGAAGATCCACATACCCCTTCGTAAGACAAGAGAGCTATTGACAGCTGCTTGCAAGCTGCAAGTTACAAATTCATGGTCCAAGAAAAATATGAAATCTGTATACCTCTCATAGTCTCTGGATTTCAGTAATTCTATTAATTCCTGAGGGTCCAGGCAGCTCTTTGACTGTGCTAGACCAGATTTGCCACCTTTAAACTGATCTGTAGAAAGAAGAAACGTTAAGAAAGTACACAGAGACAGGAACAAATTCTGTAAATTGTTAAATCAATGCTGGATGAACATATCAAACAAATCACTCTTGCGCATCAAAACTAACGCTATGTTTCATTGTTTTAGCCCTCAGGTAAACACACTTAATAGCCTAACTGGTGGAAAAAAGTCAGAGGTACATGAAGAGTTTACATGCAGGCCTTTCACCTTCTAGCTGTAGTATGCATAAGAACTGATTGAAACACCAATTCAACATGCACACACGCACACACAGAGCAGAAAATCCATTAGTTCTACTTACAGTAAAAACATTGTAAATAAAGTTAGATGGTGGATGCTGAAGTTTGTTCCCTTTGTATTGTAAGCTGATTGAAACAAAGTAAGCAGTATTAACCACAACATAGGAAATACGAGAAAGATATGTGGTTTGCAGAGAGAACATCCCTCAGTTTAATGGACTAGACAAACACAACAAAATAATACACCTGACAGCTTGGTTTCTTGAAGAGACTACGCTAATGCCTATCTACACACAAATCTGGATGTCAGCCCAAATATCCAAAAAAATTATACAAGATTATTACTTAACTAAAGCTGAGCATGGATGAAGTCAAGCTCAGACTTGCACATTTCAAGGAGATAGGCAAGCCTTACTGTTCTGTGCCAAGTTTCCTCAGGTTTTTATCAACACACGTACCCATTTTATTAATGGGCCTTCATCGATCCCTTTCATCACACTCACTGCTGTTCTTTCCTATATCTTGGTTTCAGAAGTCCTCCCCACACCTTTTCCCATCTCCCTCCAAGGACTGGCTGTCTCTCTGTGAAGTGCAAATCAGATGCAAGTTCCAGAGGGGTCTGAGCTATAGGATTCTCTCCCCCATTAACATCTCCTGCTGTGACACATAGGATCCAGGTCCTGTCACGCATTATTACTGATTCAGTCTCTCCCTTCTAGTTTTCAGTGTTTCACAAACTATACGGCATTGAATTAGTGCTGTACAGGTTTTGGGTTGCAATAGTAGTGACACAGAGAAAAATACAGAAGGCCCTATCAAGCACTTAACGCTTTAAATAGAAGCTTATGTCCATCACTTCCTCTTAGTCTGACACCTACTAATCTAACTAAAATCATGTTGGTTCTCATACAGTATCCCAGGCAACTTTCTTCAATAAAACAGAAGCACAAGATGGAAAGAGTCACCTGGTGCTGAGGTCAAAAAAGCATTACGTTTTGCAACAAATTTCAGTTCTTAAGATCCAGTACTTGTACTGTACACACCCTACATGGTTAGACACCACTGAAAGGCCTGACTTAAGTAAGCTTTATGACATCCCTTCCTCATTCACTCCTCCAAAGTTCCAACACTTTTTTAAATATTCAAAACTGTAGCATCCATTACATGACCTTTACATTTACACAGTGGATCCAAAGGTTCCTGGAGGGGACACCCCTACCTAAGCTGCAAGATTTAGATATGATTCACCAATAATTACCAAGATTCAACTTACTGCAAAACTGAAGGCATGACCCAACTTGACACTTAGCTTCCTTCCAGTACAACTAGTCCCAGTTCCCATTGCTACTTTAGTATATGGCAGTCATCTACTATTAAAGCCCATTCTGTTTTGTGTGCTCATCTTGCCACTTTGGTTTTAACTCCAGGTTGGACCATAATCAAGTCATTAACATGCCTCCAAAGCGTCAGATGGCAGCCGTGGCAGTCACACCAAGACAGCAGTGGCAAACAGATTACAAAGAAAAAGGCTAAAGCTAGGCTAAAGGAAGCATCTAACAAAGATTAGCTAACATCACCCAAAACCAGAGGCAAACTACAGCCTAAGCTTGACAAGCAGTGCACTGTGCAGCAGACAGTTACAGGTGTGGCCTTTCTGCCCCTTTATGTCCTCAAAAAAATGCCTTCCCCCCCGCCCCCCCTTAATATACTATGAGAAGTTCTTAACCTCTTTAAAGTTCAATATAAGGCTAATTATTGTCAGAAGCCCATACCAAGTTACAAGAATTGTATTTTTTAAGTGAGCTTAGTGTATGGAAAATGCTAAAGGGAGCTGTCCAGATATCACAGACAGAATAAGCTATGGAAGCAAAGCAGGATTTCTATAGGACCCAAACAAGAAAAATTTACCCCCAAAAGAGACATTTCAACCCAATCACTTTCTAAAGACTTTTGAGTATGACCAACTATATAACCAAGAACACAGCAAGAATCACCATTGTTCTGCACATAAAATCAAGGACTATTGTTCTATTCAGCACTGGTTAATTGTTCAAACAGGACTATTCTACTATGGTTATAGCATACTGTTCTTAAATTCAGAAGGACAGATGAAAACTGGATGCTGAAAATTTTTACAGTGATTTTTAAGCTCTAGGATTTGCAGTCTCAACCAAGTTTAGTAGGAACCCCCCAGAAACCAACTTTCTATAGTCTCTGCTCATTTTACCAATTTTAATAGGAACTCAAGCAAGTTTGCTAGAGCAACTGGAAAAATCTGTTGCTAAACTTCACATCATGAAACACTGCTCTAGATGTCATTAGGTAGGCGTATTGCTCCAATTGAAGAATTGTTATAAATTAAACTGCAAGCACTAAGAATTTTTTAATCTGCTTTTCCATTTATATTCTGGTTCATTTAATTTGATTTTAAAAAGATAATCAACTTAGACTTGTCATCTACCCCCAGCATTTTCAATGCTAGAAGTCCAAAAACATTTGGGTCAAACAAACTATCATCTTGCTGACAAGCTGCCAACAAGCCCAGAGCTCTACCCTCTCATTGCCTGGTTTTACCTATACTTCTTCCAGGTACACTCACTGTCCCATCACCCCTCTTTTTTCCCTTCCCTACTAGTAAAGGAATAGTCAGAACACGGTGATTCCAGAAATACTAGAAGTGCTTTCCTTTAATTGGCTGCAGAAGTTATCTATAATCTGTCTAAGAATGTATTCTGAAAAGTAATACCATATAGCCACTTGTTGGGAGGATGAAGCTTTTTGCGTTTAAAACTACTAAGCAGTCACAAAACAGAGCAGTAAGAGTTCTCTCTTGAGATTTAAAGCAGCAATGCATGCTTACAGGAAGTCATAAGAGACAGATACTAACTTTTGTGGATAATCAGCTTCTCCAGCTTCCTCTTGACAGCAGCTCTCTCCACAATCTTCTGGTCAATAGTATTTGCTGTCACAAGACGATAAACAACCACCGGCTTTGTCTGGCCAATTCTGTGACACCTGTCTTGCGCCTGCAAGTCCGACTGGGGGTTCTGAGCAGATAGTGAAACAAGTTAGCTACGTCATTACCCTTTTTTAAAAGGGACATACCACAGGCAGCATTTTCAATAGCGAGCTCTGAGAGTCAGAGCGGAAGCAATAAGCAGGGCAGCCACAGCATAATAGAACTCCACTCTTAAACTTGTCCGTGACGAGCTCTGCTGCTATAGCTGCACAGCCAGAGTAACCCAACTAGCTCGGACCGCTTCTGCACTATGTGCTGCAGTTTTCAACAGATGCACATGTTTTGTATCACAAATTTAGCTGAGGGTGTTAGCTGTAGGTTTGTGGGGTTTTTTGTTGGAGGATAAGAAAAGGGATTAAAAAAATTTTCAGCCATTTCTGAAGCTGCTTTAGCTGTCCTGAAGCTGAATAGTCATGCAAAGAGCAGAGCTGTCTATAAAAATAGAGTGAAGATGCAGAGGTCCTCAGTCATTTTTTTCCATGCCTCTCTTCTTCCCAGCCTCCAGACTCACAGGAGCAGCAGAATCCTAGCTAGCTAAAACACATATGGCAAGTCACAGGAGGAAATTCAAGGGGCTGGTACTAACATAGCAACTGTCGAAAACAGGGAACCTGTAGAAGGTCCAGCTACATTCAAACTCAAATAATAAATCGAAAGAAGGAAACACATCTTCAACAGTAACAGAAAAACCCCTCCTGCTTTTGGTGTAACTCAGGGCAAACAGGCTAGTTTTGGAAACTAACTCTAACGTTGCATTCGATAAGCAAGGACTTTTCAAATGAGGCTGCATATTTCACATATAACGTTTGCATACACTACTTACTATTATCTTCATGTAACACCTCATTAAAGTTACAGAAATGGTCTATAGTATAATGGGTTAGTAAATTATTATCAAAAGCAGCAATAGAGAAAGCATTTTATGACACATATCACTAGGTTAACAGTCTGTCAACATACCCAGTCACTATCGTATATGATAACTGTGTCTGCCGCAGTTAAGTTAATGCCCAAGCCTCCAGCTCTTGTACTCACTAAGAACAGGAAGACTTCAGGGTCCGTATTAAATTGATGCATCTGGAAGAGAATTTGCCTATTAAAAACAGCAGATGGATCAAACACAACGTAGCTAATGTTTTATTTTGAGACGTGCGTTTAAAAAGATGAACACAGATAAAATACAGCACACACTGTCAGAGGCCAGAGGCTTTAAGAAACATTGCATGCACTTGGGACAGGACAAGACCAAGAAGTGAAGCAATTGTATTTTCTTATGTGATGACTCCACTCAATGAGTTGTCTAACACACAGAGTGGAGATGACTATAGTGAGGTATGGTCGAAATCACATTCACCTCCACATAACCTACCATCCAGCGACGAGCAAGGTGAGCACAGTCCAAGGTGGCAGAGCCTAAAAGCATATCTTCTTCTTGACAGAAGCAACAATCTAAAATACTGATGCCAATTTGACTGGAGCTTCCAGCCACCCTGAACACCTCATCCTCCTACTTCAAAACGAAGAGCAACTTTCTGGCCTTCTACTCAGCATCTAGCCTACTTTCACTGCAAGATGTTTCCAAGTGTCAGCACAGCTCCTACCAGGTCTGCAATACCAGTCAAAATCTAGTCTACTTAGTCTAACCACCCACATGCTGGTAGAAAACTGGAAGCGTATAGTAATTTTCAGAATTTTGATCACAGCAGAGAAAAAGAAACCATCACCCCACTGCCAGGTGGAAGCAGCTACCCAAGCTCTCTAAAAGCCCCATATCCTCTGGGCTCTCCTGGACATCAGCATCTGCAGCACCAGCAGCAAATCATGGAGCTAGGAAGAGCCTTGCTGAACTTCAACTGGTGACGTGGAAGATTTCTCTCATCCTGCACCCATAGCACACTGTGGTAGGCACACAATCAACTTCTAAAAATCCTCACAAGCCAGCAGCACAAAATTTTATCAACTTAATAAAAGTCACTATAGCTTGCTGACACATTGCTAGTTAGCCTTTCCTCTTCAAGAATCAGCTCTGACAGCAACAACCTACGTGTTTAGGGGTTTGGTTTTCCTCAGCCACATTGCGGCACTGTAAAAAGCGGGGCAAAGGGAAGCACAATTTGAGCTAGATGATCTGTCATCTGCCACTGTTTTCCCGTATCTTCATAGACACTAGTACATACTTTGGAGACCAGATAGCAATTGCAGCACATCGCTTAGATACATCCTGTGTACTTCCTCCACAAACCTCCACAAATCCCTGCAAACCCTCAGAGAGGTGGTTTTCCAGAACTATCCTGCATGGCTGCTCTTGATGATAAATATATGCTTCAGTAGTAAGGCATTCTGTGGTTATCTGAAACCATTACAAGTATGCAAGAACAAAGGATTGCGCTAGAAGAAATCCACGTGCAATTTCTGAAGTTACAGGTGTCCCACTAGGTACAAAACCTCATTTCCTGGAAATCTACTTTATTTGCCATTAGACTTGCAGTACACTCCCATAAATGCTGGCATCACATCCTGGATGCTAGGAAACAATACGTGTAGGGGTAAAACAGGGATTAGCATCTGCCACAATCTAGATACATTACATACTTCACATTTGGGCAACAGAGCACGTGAGCACCCATCATTCTAGGCATACCCCAAGATATTGGTTAGTAACACATTTCATTGCTTCAGTATTTCTGAGCTGCAGATATTAAAGCAGCAGCAAGGATGTCAGTTTTCAGCATAGATGTCCTTTGCCTATTAAAGGCCAAATGCTGTGCGAAATCATATTCCAGTGTCACAGGAACAAGCAAATTTGCTAACAGGCTCAAAGGGCATGCACATCTACTTACATTTTCTTCTCTCTCCGAGTAGGACATAGAGCCGTCCAATCGACTAAATCTGAAGTCTCTCAGATAGCAGTAATCCATCAAAATGTCAAGCATCATAGTCATTTGTGAGAACAACAAGACCTACAAAACCAGGAAGATTCCTTAATACCATTTTTTGGTCATAAGGAGAAAACTATGCCCCCCCCCCAAAATCATTAGATTTACCTTATGTCCTCTCTTTTTCAGTTCTGGAAGCATTCGGTCCAAGAGTAGAAACTTGCCTGAATTCTTTACTAGATCTTCATCAACCTTGGAACAGGGGAGAGAGGATCATATATTAGGAGGGAAGGATACCAAAGGTTACCCCGACTCAGAAGCACCAACAAAAGCTGTCTGAAAGCTTCTCACAGAAACAAGCTTGTACCATCTCTTTAACTAAAAGCTGTAAGATTGGAAGCAACACTAATTTTAGAAAACTACATTGAATCAGTTAAATCATGATGAAACTAAATCAAACCCCACCATTTCATATGCCCAAATAATTTTTAAAAAAAACTAATTAGCTTTCACCCCATTTCTGGAAGGAGAAACCCTGATGATTTTAATTTTTCCACATGGAAAAGCACTGTTTCTTTCCCAGCTTGTAATTAATGCACAAGGTTTCCACCTACTGGATTTAAGGAAGCACTGCTGAACAAGTTACTACACATCAGCCAAGTGACAAAAGTTCACAGAACAAGTTTTCACACTGCTACCTTAGACCCCCCTTTTGCTCATGAGAGTTTGTTAGATCTAATTCTTGCTCTGCGCTTAGAGCAGGGATATAGAAACTTCTCAGGTCTGAGCCATACAGTGGCCACCTCGATAATTCCTAATCCATTTTCCTGAGCAGGTACTAGCTCCTGCAAGTGGTGTCAACTGTCAAACAGTCTGCATCTTCCTCACATTGACTAATTTCCCCTCATCATCCCAGACTGGGCTATCTCCTTTTTATGCACTGACTTTACATTGATCAACTTCAACAGCTTGCTCCTGAGTGCAGCTGAATCTGTTATCACTCACTGAACAGGAAACATGACTACACATGCCCACAAACCTACATTTAGAATGTGGAAGCAATTTCCAGTTGTTCAAGATTCTTTCAATTCAAATTACTTCATACTTTCCTATATTGCCAACTGCTTCATGTAGATTAAACTACCAGCCGGCCTTTGTGATATAATTTGGATTTTTTCCCTTCTGAGGAGGAGAAAGGATGCTGTATTCTCTGACAACTCTCTTGTACTTGGTTCAGCCCTTCAACACCTCACACTTAAAAAGTTACCACCGCATCTCCTGCAGTGTGTACAATTTATGTCATGAACAGTTCACCAAGGGCAGCATTTTTTGTTTTGAAAATTAACCTTTGTGATGAGAGTTTCAGGCAGATCCTAAACCACCTTGAGTCAACGGAACCCAGCTACTCTTCGAATTCAGTAACTTTGCTCCAAGCAGGTAAGCGCTGCCATAATGAAGAACACTACGGCATCACTATGCAAAGGCTAAATGGTCACCGAGGCTGAACTGGTCTCTGCAACTGCTGCTGCAGGAAGCTTCAAGTAATGATTCAGTACACTGCTGGAATTCAATGGGGAGGCATATGCCAAACACATTGAAAAGGCCATTCTTTACTGTCATCAGCTCACAGTCTATTGCTTTTTAACGCCTGGAATAATTTTTCTCATAACCCTTTTAAAATATGTACCTTGAATTGTTGTGTAGCAGGGTCCAATGGATATTCAATAAGATAGGGGTGATTACAACATTTCCTCAGTAACATCATAATATTCTGCAGTTTAAGGTTCACCTCTGAATCCATGGGAATGCTCACTTCTACCACTGGCCTTGAAAAGAAACGTCACCTTATTAGTACAGAAAGCGTCACCTTATTATGCAACAGATACTGAAGAGAAAAAAAAATTAATAAAACCGAAATCAAGCAATGGATTCACATGCTGTGTCCAATATCCACAAAATCCCTCATAGTTAGTAAAGCTATTACCAGACGAAACTTCTTTTAGTGCCACACTTGGTGCTGAAGGCACAAGGGTTTGCCATTATTGGTTTAAAATACAAAAGGGCAGTCAGTAGTAATCAGAAGCAGAAAAATACAACTTGTGCAAGTCACCCAGCAAACAGTGACCAGAAAAGGGAAAAGAAGCAAGCCCTCTCTTGAACAAACGGTCACATTTCCTGCGGAACAGTACATAAGCTATTCCAAAATCAGTTCTCTACCTATCCCATTTCAGCCACACGTACACATTGCAGGATTCACAACGAATACAGCTATTTAGCTCTTCCACATCTAAGTACCATCTCCAACATAAGGGATCCATGCATACCATAAAACTAATACAAACATATATTTAAGTGTCTGTTCTTGCAAAGTACACTGGACTACAATAAAGATCTAGCAAAATAAACACATTTCAACCCTGAAGATTAACCCGGTTTTCTTTATGCCCAGGGGACTTCCAGCCAATTTAGAGCCACCAACAGACCTTGCCAAACCAAGAATGAACATGATTCCGCAGCTCCCTCAGTCCTGAGCCTCCTCTCTGAACTTAATCACTAGAAAGTGACCAATACCTGTCACCAAAACAGCAATAACCATGCTGGCCATTTGGGTTCCAGGCCTCAGCTTAAGCCTACATATTTTATAAAATTTAGCAAGGAAACTACTCCTCCCTTTTCTCAAGTCTTGAGCCCAAACTTTGCTTCAAGTATTTCTGAGTAATTCCGCAGAAACCTAGGAGTTAACTGTAGTCAGGAGACCAGCATTCTCTCTCATCCTGTCTTTGAGCCAATGGAAGATACACCTGTGAACATAACTGGACATTGGAGACAAAAGGTTTACCTGAACTTTGCAAAGCCTGCAAAACCTAGCAATAAGCCAAGCTCTTCAGCTCTTTGTCCTCATTGCTAGCTGTAGCCAGGACCTAAGCTATTACAATGAAATTTCAACTACCAAATAACTAAGATGAAGCAGTTCTTCCCTGGCTGGTACCCAACACCATCTTAGACCTTGAGGCTTTGGTGAAACCACAGTTCTTCACTACCAAAATGTTTTAACCGCCCAAAGGAATTGCATTTCACACTAGAACATTTTAGCTCTTTATGGATTATCAATAGCACTATCGTCACAGGACCTACCTAAGACTGTGACTAATGAAAACAGGGACTCAAGAAGCAATTTTATTGCTAGATCCTGCCAGGGCCACAGGTCTAGGAGTAAGTGTCTTGTAGTTAACTATAACTATAATGAGTCAGTGAGTGATGGTACCATCTAATCATTGCTATCATGGCCCAGCAAGTATTAGGTAAAAGCAAAGAAACAAACCATAAAGCTACAACGACAGTGAATTATGAAATGCCATTCTTCTTGATCAATTTGAATAAGCAAAGCTCTGGAAGCAAAGAGGGAGATATTCAGTATAATTAAAAAAAAAAAAAGTCTTTTAGGGCAGGCACCTCTCTTTTTCTACTTCCTCTTGCATTTTGCTGATCAATTTTTCCAAGTCATCAGGTGAACCATTATTTTCTTCACAATAATCAACCAGTTTTCGACTACGGCGTTTTGGTCGGCCTGTAGGACTCAACTCAACTACTTCTTCCTGTGGGAAATGATAATGTTGCCATCAACAGTAGATAGCTTCAGATTCAAAGGCCTATGCTGACCAAGAATTCTCAATACTGAAAAGAGGTCTCAGTGATATGCGTCATACAATACTTACTTAGACTCAGCAGCTGTAAGTTTTGCTAAGTAGAAAATGGAGCCCAAATTTTAAAGGTCTATAATTGTAGATTTTGAAAGCTTCTGCTTGATTTTTAAAAGCTGCATTAGTATCTTACTGATTTTACAGCAGAAACTGTCAGCTATATGAAAATTGTCTTCTTTTACCCCTGAGCTACAAGTAATCAAGAACATATTTACACTCATATTGTATTACTTCTGTGCCCACTGAGGCCAGTCACAGTAACTGCCATTGAAATAGATAACAAAAGGATCAGACTAAAAATCTAAGCAAAAAGTGGTTTTAGTTACAATGGTAATAAACCAATACTAATGCGTTTTGGCTAACCATTAACAGCAAGCACATTTCTAACATCCATATCAGTAGATACCTCATTACTTCCAAGCAGTTTCCTAATGGTGCGATTTACAATGGCAGTGTAGAAAGTTTCTTGCTTCTTTGCCAGCGGTGCATATACCACAACTTCTCGTTTAGGAGGAACCTCAAGAGCAACATCGGATTTCAGTCTTCTCAGTAAGAAAGGTGTCAGAATCTGAAATGTTGAGCAGATGTGTTACAATTACTCAAAGCTCTCAACATGGCTAGTTTAAAAAAAAACAAAAACGAAACACAAAACCAAAAAACAACAACAACAACAAAACCCAAACCACCAGACAACACACAAACAGGTCTACTGATATAATGCTATTTTGACAATTTAAAGCAAAGGAGTTAATTTGCAGAGTTCCATATTTCATTTTTTAACATGGATGCCTACTCCAAAACTTTTATGCACATGCTGGCAATACATGTGTTCAAACAACACATCCATTGACATTTGGAAAATTTTGAAGTGTTTAATAAGGGTGCAGTAGTAACTACATTACAGACCTTTCAAATAATTTTCATTAACTAGAAGTAATTTTATTATGAAACAGCTCATTTTAATTATTACATTTCTTAAATCAAGTTATTACAGGAAAGCCCCAAACCTTTAACTGAAATAAATAATAAGTTGTCATAGACAATTACACCTAGAAGATACAATTTTATCTCTCACCATCAGCTTATGATGGGAAAATGATAGTTCTGTAAGCATTTACCTCCACACCCTCCCTTAAAAAAATAGAAGTTTTGAGTGTTAGTTTGGTTTTGAAGGCAGGCACATTATACAACTAGTTTGTCAAAAGGTATTCTGTTCAACACCTAAAAGTTACATAAATTCCCTTAAAGTTATCTTTCAATAAAATAAATATACCAATTAAATCTTTTGGCAAACAGGAGCAAGCAATGGCAATTAAGTTTGACTAAACTCAATTCAGTTCCAAGAATAAAAATGAGTCATTATCAAAGAGGTATATTGTTCCTTTCAGCATTTATAAGTGCTGTAAAAATTGAAAAAAACCCCCACAAGTCTAAGGAAGTCCAGAAGTGCCACAATAAAAGTCTCGGGCCCAGAATGCAGCTCCACAAACAAGATTTTGACACACTTCATAATAATTGTCAATGTTAGAAGTAAACCATGAAAAAACCAACACAAAGAATAAGTGAAAACCTGATGCAGCATATGCAAGATGTTTTGCTCTCTTTCTTTAGCAATAATATCTTCGGCCGTTTCTGTAATGCTGGTAATATCAAACCAGGATTCAAAGCTACAAAAACAAAGAAAAAAAAAAAGGTTACTTCATAGCTATTATTCTTCATTATTTAAGTATACTATTCTTCTTTTATCCTGCGATTTAAGAAAAACAAAGCACTAATATCCATCACGAACAGAAGGTGAGGAGGAGGTATTTCCAAAATATACCAGTCAATTCAGATACTTGAGGTTTCAAGTGATTGGTAAAAATACTTGTATTAGTTGGAATATTCACTATGATCTATTATAGTCAATCTAGCCTACATCTTTTTCCAAAATTAGCCTTGACTGTTTTGGCAACGTTCTTCCACCTGACCCCCTACTGCTTCAGAAAAGGATCTGTCCCCATGGGCCCCATGTCTGCCAGCCTCACACAGCTTCCTCCAGCACCTCAGAGAATCTCAAGCAGCAGCAGGCACTTAGGATTAGACAAACATCTTTCCCCTCAAATGCTCATGTCTTAGCTCTGAGTTGAGCTTCCACTATCCATAGAGCTGACAATTACTTCCTTACTTTTTGAAACAACTAAGTGTAAAGGCAAGACACATTTCAAAGTCTTTACCACCAAATAACCATACCAAATTACAATCATACCATAAAATAACTCTTCACATGCTGATACAAGTTTAATTATTAAAGAGTCACAATAATGCCCAAACAGAAAAAAGGGGAATAGTTTTCACCATCAGATCACAACCTACCTTTTCAAATCATCAAACACATCTGGCAACAGGAAGTTAAGCAATGACCAAAGCTCTGCCAAGTTGTTTTGCAGGGGAGTACCAGTCAACAGGAGTTTATTGTCCGCATTAAATCGTTTCAATTCTCTGATAAGGCGGCAGTTCATATTTTTAATCCTGTGACCTTCATCTACTATCAGGTATTTCCAGAAGCAGTGCTACAAAAAGAAAGGGTATTTCAGTAATCTTAGCTTTACTCCATCAAAACATGTGCCAGACGAGATAAGCAGCACTAATAAGACTGTGTGATACTGACCGTTACAAAGATTCTATTTACTGTTGTTTCTCACTTTGCCAGACTAGAAGAGCTGAGTCCAAACAGTTAATGCCATACATCTGCTTCATGGTAACTGCATTTAGAAAGCTTAGGTGATTGCAATAAAACTCCTACAAGAAACTCATCTCATTGAAACAACCATTCTGATACTAACCATGATATTTATACACTAAGTACAGCTTTTACTCCAAGCCTCCCTCACCATCACCTACAGAGAGGTAATGAAAAGAGTAGGTATGCTGTAACTATCTGCTTACTTCACTTTTTGGATAGTGTTCTGTTTGAAGAACTTCTTAAGCATAAAATTCCAGAGCCACTGCTACCAAGGGAACAGAAGTGAATGCCAATATAAATGCTACAGTATGACACCTGTGGTTTTTTTATTACTATATGCAGGGTTTTTTTACTATATTCAAAAGCATTGCTATTAGTGATGAGGCATTCCACCCGTCCTAAGGCTTTCAGGAGAACTTAGATACCTGCAGGGCATTTCTGTCTCGCATTGCTATTTCAAAGGAAGTAATGACCACAGGATGGATTTGCAGTGATCCTTGTCGCCCGTGAATTTTACGAACCAGTTTACGACGTTCCTGCTCATTAGTGGAATCTGAAAAAAAAAGAGGTTTAGAAGTCAGGTGAACTAAGCTCATTTAAACCTAAACAGAAGATAGTAGAGATAATTACTCTGTTACAAGAAGGCTGTAAATACACAGCAAGTCATGGCACAGCATAGTAACCACATAAACAACTACAGTTAAACTGATGTTCTATATAGAGAACATTTCAAAGCAAAGAATTAGAATAAGAATTAAATAATTTGTTCTTTTAAACCTAAGGAAGAAAAAGAAAAATCTTCATTTCTTTTACCTCTGGAGTAAATCTCTTGAATTCAGACATCCAATTTGGAAGAGTAGACAAAGGACCACATACTAAGAATGGACCAGGGACTCCTCGCTCCACCATCAGTGCTATTGTTGCAATACACTGGATCGTCTTCCCCAACCCCATTTCGTCAGCTAAAATGCCATTGATACCATTTTCCCAAAGCATCTGCATATACAGAAAAAGAAATGTAAATACAAAATAGCCAACACACCTTAAGAACAGCAGATATCTTTAGGAATGTAACACCTGTAGAAACTCTCTACTAAGCACATTTTATATTACAGACGAGTAAGATTTCTCCATGATGAAAATAAATACAAGCATCTTGTACACAACAGACATTCATATGTAGGTGTATGTGCTTCTAGCCAATTAAGTGCCTGACTAGGAGGCAAAACCCAAAACATTATCAAAGGAAAGCACATAAATTAGTGTTATATCAAAAAGCACTTCAACTGCAAGTACAGCTCTCACTACCCAAATTTTTACTCATCCCAGCTCCAAAGAATTCCCTTAGCTCCCCCCCCTGCAAAAAGACCAGGTTTTGTGCTAATGTTTCAGTTTTATCTGTTCAAGTAGCTTCTATAGGCACAGCTACTTCACCATAGGAAAAAGGTGCCATTCCTGACCAACACAGCCAGCTGCTTCAGCAAAAGTTCTTTGTGCAGACACTGCCTATTCTGACAAGTGACAGAGCAACCTCTCACAAAAGAACAGAAAGACACAGAAGTGTTCTTTGGCTACTCTACTATTCATAAAGATTCATGAAGAAGGTTATTATAACTGAGGGCCCAAGGAAGCTGTTTTTTCCCCTCCCAGAACACGCCTGTCTTCCCTGCGCACTTCCCAGTGACAGAACGGAGTGAGTGAGTTTAGTGGCACTCACTTGTGAGATCAGCCTAAGCTTGTTATAACAAGATATATATGCTTGTGGAGAAGAAAAAGAGGAAGAAAAAACCTAAAGGAAACATGAGATCAGTAGCAGAATGAAAATTAGTTCTGTCTGGCTCTGATAATTAAAAAGCAAAGTTGTTCTAATTTGGCTTGCAAGCAAAAACGGATAGAAGTTAAATATGTATGTGGGCAATTTTTATGGCAAGTTTCTTTAGTTTTTGATTTCAAAGGCTAAAGACAAAATGTTTTTAAAACACTGTGTTAATATTACTAGTTTGATTCCAAGTTGCAGAGAATGGAAAACTCATCTGTGTCAGGCCTGCAAGGTCTTTAAACACCTATGGGATAGGTATTCAAGCCCTTTAGAGAGCAAAATAGTAAGACTGTCCCTTAGTAGTATGCATAGTCCTTCTGCTTTCACAAAGTATTTGTAATGAGAGGCTGAAAAGACAGTTGAGTTGAACAAGAAAATAAATAGAGAAAGGGAAGATGGAGAACACCAACCAGAAAGTCTAAAGAAACATTTACAGACACAAACATCCTCCCCACGCTGAAGCATTGTATCTGCTGCTTAACAACATTTTCATAACACCAGGTTCTTGCATCACGAGAAATTGTAAACAACTGTCTCTTCTTCACCTTCCCTATACCAACTATGATCACAGACTTCTACTGTCTCTTCCCCTCCACTTCTCTGTTTGCAATCAGTAACAGATTTAATTTTATCAACAATCCCTCCATACCCTTAGCCACTCCATGCCTTCCACTTGGTACCACCTCATTACACCTCCAGTAAAAATCTTTGGCTGCTGAAAAGGCACTGGTTGTCCATTAAATTTCCGTACTGGATCAAGGAATTGCTTGGCACTGTGTCGTACAGCTTGACACAATCTATCTTTAATGACGCTATTTGAGTCTCCATTTTTCTGCAGGTCTTCTGGACACAGGTTGTCAGAACAGCTTTCATCCTATAGAGGGAATTTCAAGGAACACATGACAAGTGGAATGCACATCAAAGCCCAGCTAAAACATACTTTTGCCCAATTTACACCAGTCTTAATATGCAGTGAAGTAAGCCAGCCCCTGACACAAAGACTTATTTTGAGTAACTGTCAACTCAAGAGCAGAATTTATTTTTAGGATTAATATTACTACATAGGTATACATCAACATGCAAAATTTCAATGCCTTATATGCATTCTTTAATCCTTTAGAATTGAAGAGCAGTGATAGCTACAGAAACAATGGGGCTTATAATTTTCTACTCATAAAAGAAATCAGACTTAAAACCTTCCTCACATCAGCTGGCATTTAATGCAGCTATTTCCCTTCTATAAGTGGATTCTAGAGAAAGTTGGAAAGAAATTCATACTGTGCATGTAGCTTTTGAACTACAGCAGAAGCGGAAGAGACCATACCTGTTACCTCCATGCTTGAATGTTTAAAAATGACTATGTCTTAAGGTCTTATACACCAGCAGAAATATTTCTTAGTAAATTCCTATTTCCTTTAGTTTTGAAACTACAGGCGTTCTATAAAGTATAAATACGTTCAAATTCAGTGTTTAAAAAAAAAATTCTAAGTTTTCACCTTGGATTTCTGAAAATAAGTATTTAAGTGCATTCACTTACACCACTTTTTAAAACTTCTAATTCAGGACTTCAATATCTAGCAGAGAGATGTTTATTTACAGGAAAAGTTTAAAGGTATGCTATAAAGCATAAAAAGTCCTCTCTCCCTTTGTGTTTAACACACTTAAACTGCAATAACATGTCCCAACATACCTGATTTTCCACTTTACTTTTTTTTGCCACTGATAATATTTCCTGGAAACAAAGAAAAAAACATGCTTATATGCTTTTCAACATTAAAGGCTATTACAATTTGTATTTCATGAGATCTTTTAATTGAAGAACCTGGACATATTTTAAAAAACTTTCCATACAACGTCATTAATCATACAAGTGACTCTAAACAAGGCCACACACCAGAGAACGCATTCCAATTACAAAGGGTAACTGAAAATTCAACTGACGATGTAGTCTCTTCACAGCTTGCCTCTCCAAAGACTTTTAAAAAAAAGAAAAAAGCATCTGAATTCTACAGGTCCAACAACACTGCTTGTTACATAGATTTTTGTTGGAAGAAAGTCATACATTACAGACAGACTACTGTTGGCTGTTGGTTGATAATCTCTGATGGCAATGTACAAGAATGTATTGCTCTAAAATACAGATGTCACACAGCGATTGCCTCACCAGTTAATATTTGTGCTACAAAAATCCAGACAAGCCTATTTATAGTTATGGCCTACCTCCTTGGACATAATTTCTGAGATGTTGTATGTCCCACCTTCTCTCCCTCTCTTCTTTTTTGCACCTATAAATAACATTTGAGTTTATACAACACATCAAACATTAAAGAAACTAAAAACACCAGTACTGGCAAAAGGCAAAGCCTAATACATTACCTGATTTCTCCTCTTTGCTATCAAGTGGATTTTGACCCTAGAAAATAAACACAGGAAGAGGTTCATCATCTTATGCATCTCTAACTATCATGACACAGATAAAAAGATGTAATCAGCCTCAAACCACTGCCTTTGAAAGGTTCTCAAAACGCTTTTACTATTAAGCTGTTTTCCAAAATACAGCAAAAAAAGTTCCTGCTTATCTTTTTTATTACTCAATCAGCATCTTTGCTGAATAAACAATCATTGCTAAAACAAAAAACCTCCTCAAAACAAATTCAAACCATTTTCTTTAGTATAAATTAGTCAGAAACACCTCCTTATGATGACTGTCACGGTATGCAATTTTTAAGCACTTTTAAACAGCCTTTTTATGGTTAAAATAAATATGGTGTACTAGATAGATCCTGCAAGTCAAATACTGGCTAATCTAACTTATTTAGTTTACCTACCTTGATCAAAATTGACATTGTAATTTGTCAGACTTTTATTCAGAAAGTTGCATAAAATAACTAGTTAATCTTACCTTGGCAGATTTTAACATCATCTCTCTCTTTTTTTCTAACTTCTCTTTCTTCCTCTGTTCCTAAAAAAACCCACACACATTTCTTATCTTTCAGTAACACCCACAAGAGAACTATCCATTATAGAAGTGATAACAGGCATAGATGACACTGGTAATGTAGAGTTCTACGTACCCTACTGCCTTTGCTTTTGCAATCTCCCTAAAAGCCTCTATTCTGACATAGTTTAAAATGATAAAGCAAAACTTGGACAAGAAAGGGCAACTGCTCTGAATTGCTTCTCAGTGAATACTTTAAACACTTAAATACAGTAATTTAGAAAGACTCCAACAAAAATATTCCCAACTGTATTAAGATCACATCTATTGCAGGAAGTTTTCCATGTATGCAGCTCCCCTTTAACTTCCACATATTACCACTTGTGTTCATTGCAGAACAGAAAGCAATGTAAGTAGCCTACAATGCCTTTAAAGAAGAAGTGCTTTCATGTCTTGAAGAGTTCAAGATTTTCGTTCCATCTACTATTTCTACTTGAAAGCAAAAGGACCCTAGAAAAGGAGATAAGTAACCTTGGTATTTATCAGATGGAGCAAGACTTAGTACTGAAACATGCATTCTACCAATGCAGTAACCACGAATTCAAGCTGACAGTTAAACTGGAAAAGTATTTTAGAAAGGAGGTTCCTGCAGTCTGTCAGTGTCACTTTCCTGAGAACATCATTGCCCTGAATCTTTTCCTAAGATTCTCCCTGTCTTTCAAGCGTAAACTCTTACAAGCTTGTCCATAAAGGTACAGTTAAGAAAGTCAAGATAAAGCTAGATATGAACTCAGCAGCCCATGGATTTAAAAAAACAAAACAAAAACCACATCAAATTATTTTATAGAAGCTCTTGTTTGGGAACACCATGGCCTCAGATCACTGTAATTTATAAATCTGTTTGAGGGAGGCCTACATTAGCATCCTGAAGATATGTCTCATCCTCAGCCTTCAGTAATTAACACAAATAGGCTGCACAACTTCCTCCTTGTGAATTTTTGCATCTTCTATCCTCCCTCCAGGTTTTCTAGCTCCCTTAAACTTTGTTTCTTATTTCAAATATTTCTTTTCTCTTCCTAGTACTTAGGCCAACAGAAGCACAGTAAAGATATCAGTGCCACCTTTACACTGTGATTTTAAATTATAATTCATGCTCTGTCCAGTCTGATTTATCTATTAATTTGTAGAACAAATTCTGAGTATTATGTAAAGCACCACTTCATTCCTGGGCAGTAGTTCCAGTAGATTTTCATGTTATTATTGCAAACTTAACAGCATTTTTACTTCAGTTCAAACACCTGGGTGGCAAAAAAAACCCCAAACAAATGGCAGCCCATCTTAAGAATCCCCACTGCAGACAAGAATACACCTACCTCCAGTTGCTGCTGTTCCATTTTGGTTAGCAAGAATTTGGAATAGATGTTGCTTTTTTCAAGCAAATGTTGAAGCCTCTTATAGCGCATTTCACTTGACTCCCTGTCCCAAGAAGTGCGAGCCTGGCCAACACAAAGAGGTGTCAAGTATTTATAAATGCTTCAGAGTTAATGCTTTTAATATACTCAAGGGTTCTTCTACAGGATAACCACAATTGTCCCCCACACACATAACGTTTCCCTTCCAGTCATTATACATTTATGATTCCCGAGTGTATGAACTCACATGTACCTATGAGGTGCTGTAAGGTGAAAGTAACTGAGGGTTGTATTAACTTGCACATGTGAACAGAGCTCTGCAACACATATGCTTCCAGTGCAGTAGCACAAGGTATTCAGGGGCTCAAAGATGTCTCAACTCCAATTTATAGATTTAGAGCAAAATGAAATTTAAATTTATTTGCAGCTTGAAAAATTTAGGAGGGGAAAAAAAAAACCCTACCCGGCAAAATTCAGCACAGTTTCCCAAGTATTGGTTGGGACTCCTCAATATGCCATTTGCACAAAGGTACAGTTTTGCATTATGAACAAGACAGTCAGACAGCTACAAAACCACCATGCCTAATTTACAGAGGTCAAGTCAATTCCCAATGTGAAAACAGCAACTTCTGCTTACTTTGCTTACAAAATCCACACATGCTTTTAAAAGTAACTTCTGTTGAATTAGTCAAGGCTGTGCCTTTGTAAGTTTGCAAATTACTCTTTAAAACTCAGATCAAGACTCCTCCAAAAAGTAAAAAAGCATTCACCCATCTGCATTCATCTAACACTGCCTGTTAGATTGAGATATCAAACAAGTGAAAAGGTATAAATTAGCATCTCCAAGAGAAACCCCAGAAAGGCAAGATGCAGAGCTTTACAAGATGCTTATCTATGCCATTGCCTTCAGAAGAGACACCGGGGGAAGGGCATGCTAAGACAGAACGGCGAGGGAATCTTCTGGAACTAAAGAGACTAACAGGCAGGGGAAAAGGATATTAGCTGAATCATGGGACAAACCGTGTGACACAGAAAAGGGGGAGCATGTTTCTCTTGCCCAGAAATCACACCTTTATTTTCCACAAACAGTACTGCACGTCATTCTTATCAGATAGCTATCACCGTATTCTTTTATGAGAGGAAGATCTATCTCAACAAGTTCTTTGGGGGAAGAGACTGCCTTCTTGTGATTCTCCATACGGTTTTTATTTGCTTCTGCTCTCCCCAGTCCAGGCTTTTTCCTGGATGATGAAAAGAACCTGAGCTCAGAAAGATCAACTCTTGATGGCAACGCCAAGAGAGAATATAATTAAAACTAAACTACATCATTCAGCAAATTGCTCCCTTTTTATTGGCGTGAACACAGCATTCTTCCATTAATTGGTCAATCTGAAGGACTGTTCCTTTGACCAACAGCAAAACTTTCAAGGGGGGGAGGGGGGAGGGGGAAGAAAACTCAAAGATGATGAACAGCATTGAACTCTTATGTTTCCTCTACCTTGTCCTTTGACTCAATCCTTAAAGTGGGGTTTCTTCCCCCTTTTTGACTGAAAAGGTCAAAAATTTGCCTCTCTTTCCTGACTCTGCATTCTTATATATTTGCCTAGTGGTCTTTTGCCATCAGCCCACAGAAAGAACAAGTGACTCTTGTTGAACTGCTGTACAAATCACCTGGCAGGGGGTTTGCTGAAGTGACAAGCGTAAAAAAACCCAGAAGCTTCAAGAACATCAACTGCCCTCAAGATACCAGTAAGCCTGGGTTTAACGACGTGAGTAATTTTGCTTGGTCCCCAGATTGCACAGAGAAAGGATGATAAAAGCACACAGGACAATGGAGTGATACCTTTGCTAGAGGTAAGCTCTGTGGATTCTCAAGAACCGGAGAGAACACAAAAAATCCCAGCGCTATCACATTATAGCATTGTTACAGAAGTGGTTTGTTGTGAAAGAAATTAAATTCTAAGTCTTTTTCTCAATACTTCCTGTGTAATGAGATAATCTGCTCTACAGGAGTTTCCTCCTTACCCTCCAAAAGCATTGCCTCCAAATATTTAGTTCCAAGTCTGATCAAGGAATACCTGAAGAGAAATTCAGACAGGCTCTATGATGACTTAATGTTTGCAAGAAAGAAGATTATTAGACTTCTGGGAGAATAAAGTATTATCTTCTAACTACAGTATCACAAAACACTGCAGCCTAAGAACATACCTTTATAAATGACAACTTTTCTTAGTGAAAAGAGGAAGAGTAACTAAAATTAGTTCCAGGCCTTAGAAATTCTATTTTTCATGCCCTTAGAAAAACGTTTCAATTTTTAAGACATCAGCCTCCTGTGGGCTGAATACAAAGCTACGTAATTAACAGGAAAGGGGAAAAGGACACCACTCTGAAAGCAAAAAAAACAAATACTGCTTTCTCAAGTATTTTGAGTAATAGCATTAGTTCTTTAGAATACAATTCCCAAAAGAGCATTTAAGAGAAGCATCCTTTCAGGCTTGTATTTCCTTATGCCTGAAATACAATACCTTATATAGCATTCTGATACCTTGATAATTTGTATCAACACAATTATCTAGAAGCATCATGTTTTCATGTTCTCTCTCCAAAACAGATTGGTTAATATCAACCAATGCTTAATATCAACATTTGAAAACATTCACAGCAAGAGAGAAATGAAATGTGGTAATGATTATGTAATTTGTGTCAGGGATGTATCATTCCCTTGAAGCAGTCTACGTTTCCTGCAACATAAGCAGAAAGTACACAAACCAAATATCAACTGTCAGGACGATTACATGTACATTTCTCCTGGCAGCAATGCCAGCTCAAGCAGCTCCTGCTCCCCTCAACTTAGGGGTGCCTGCACAACTGCGTGCAGAGGAGAGCAGCCCAGGACTGGCATAAAAATCGGCCCTTTTTGGCTAGGCTTTTTAAGCTAGGCTACTTCCTTGATGCAGTTCTATTGCGGCCTTCAAACACCACTGCAAAGAGAATGAGCTGCCAGTGACAGCAATTGCCTAAACTATACCTGCTATCAAAAGAAACGCGTAACGGGCCTTATTTCTGGAAAGGGTAAATGGTATTTAAAGAAGTGTCTTGCAGAGCTCTAACCAGGTCGTTTGTTTGGTGTTTTTTTTAATAAAGTAAGGAGCAAAAAGAGGAAAAGAAGCATTATGTACACATACAGAAAACACAAACAAAAAACCCTTGCCTTTAACGTTTCAAATAGAAATTCAGAAGAATGTGAACTTACTACCCTTTCTGAAATCAGCTTACTTTAAAGGCATGCTATCTTAGATGTCTAGGCTCGGAACGACAGAAGTAAAGAGGTATAATCTTCTCACTGCAAACTTAAATATAAATGTATATTTAAGTATAAAATGCAGTAAGCTTCTTGCTGACTGCAGGAGTCCGCCGTTAGCCTTCAAAATAAAAAAAGAGCCTCCCTTGGACGATCAAAGGCACTTGTGAATCACAGCCAGCGCCCGGAACTTTAACAGCCTCTCACGTTTGTTTGTTTTGAAATCAAAGGAGCTGCACG